TTTTGCAGAACCGGGGATTGAACTCAGGCCCTTGCGCTGCTTATTCTACTGAGCCATCTCCCCTCAACTGTATTGTTTTGTAATTTCCTAAAGCCAACAATATAAGGAATATATGTATTTATTTTCAAGGACAGAGGAGAAGGTAAAGTATATTAAACCTCCCTACTACTCAAAAGCTACCAGTAACAGGAAAAGGTAAGAGTCAGTGATGCAGATTTGGAGATGTCAGTCAAGAATGTAAATCCTGGTGTCTGCTGGCAAAAAAGAAAGGAAAGGGTCAATGCCCATGGGCTGCAGCACAGCGCAGTTGCTTGCCTTTGGGGCTAGTGAGCGTTAGATAACTGCACTTTAATAAGGCTCAACTCTAAGGTGCTGTTGAGCTACTTGTGCCAGCCAAGGCAAAGCTAGCCAGTCACCTACTTTTGTCAATAAAGCTTTACTGAAACTCAGTCACTCTCATTCTTTTATATAACTGTATGTTGCTTTCACTAGAAAGGCAGAGTTGAAAGAGTGTAGTAACAACAGAAGCTAAAATTATTTGTCTGGCCCTGTTTGCTGACTTCACCTATGTTAAACATGTGAAACTCTGAAAAATTAATGCTGTCACTTTAATTTATCTTAAGAGTTTAGAAATGACATGATGTATTAGCTGCTTGTACTGTTAGTTTCATGTGCAATTCTCTGGGCTAGAGGTGTACTTCAGTGGTAGAGCAAGTGCCTACTATCTACAAGGTCCTGGGTTCCATTCCCAGTACTCAAAAATATTGAAATATTTACTTTCTCTCTTTCCTCAACTCTTAAAATTGGAATACACTCAAGGCTATCTCCTCAGACTTGTGAGATTTAAATGAGCTAGGCTAAAGTATGATTAAATGAACTAGAATAAAGAACTGAAAAACACTATAAACACCATTATTAAATATTATTGTAATGAAACTAGGTACTTGTGGTTTGGGGAAAATTCCCAATAGCATTTAAAATGTGCCATAACTCTAAATAACTGATGATACAATCATTCAAGGGGATGTTTTCCAGCTGTAAAATAAAAATGAAGACACTTAATTACCAACATGGAAAGAATCAAGACAGACAAGGAGAAGAAACCAAACTATGTAATAGTGTATGTACCATCTGCCTTAAATTTAGAAAGGGAGGTAAATTAAAATAATATATTTGTAAAAATAAAAAATAAAATATTTGTAATTTCCTATATATGCAATAGAAAACTAGCACAACATGACACTACTAGCTGGGGTTAGGAGGAAATACAGGCAAGTTGAACCAGAGCAGAACAGACCTTTTACTATACAATACTTATTTTTTAACTTTTGAACCATGTGACTGTATTATTTAGGGAGGAATTAAATATGAGATGACTCTCCAGGAAGAAAACATGAGAGCTTCTGTGATTTAGGAATAACCTTGTCAATAACAAAGAACCTGTTTCACTCCCAAAACTAAATATACCCTTAACACTGATTACAACTTTAAAACCCTAAAAGTTAAAGATGGGAGGAAAAAAAGAAAAACAAAGGAGCACCAGCTAAATCTCACATAGCTTGGGGCAGGGGCATGCTCTGAGCACCACAAGATGAGAGCAAATGTGCTCCAAAGATAAAAGACACGCGGCAAAAGCACAAGAGGAGCCTAAAATAACTCCAGAAAACGAAAACGGAAACACAACGTATAATTTAAAATAATGACTAATGAAATTAACATGGTAAGAGTACAAAAAAAAATTGACAGTTTCATCTCCATCTCCTGAAACATTGTCAAGACTTTTTCTTAGGCTGTTTTTTTACTTAGTGAAAATAAAATATTGCCTTGTCTTTGGGGTGTGTGTGTGTGTGTGTGTGTGTCTGTCTGTCTGTCTGTCTGTCTTTTTGACAAAAAAGGATCATAGGTCTCACTATGCAGTCCAGACTGGCCTTGAGCTCACTTTGTAGCCAAGGCTGGTCTCAAACTTGCAATGATCCTCCTGCCTCAGCCTCCCATGTGGGGATTACATAAGTCACCTGGCTTGTATTTGGGTTTATATTTTATAGTTTTTAGAAGAAATCCAACAAAACAAGTATCAGGAACTAAGTCAAAACTTCCCACTCCAATTCCCTGATCCTTTTCCATGCGTAGGGGCACATGCACGTGTGTACACACACACACAGACACACACAGAGAGATATTTACACTGTACCTATTAATCTACAACTTATTTTTCTCATTGAGCAATGTCTTAATCTTGCCAGCATATATAAAGACAAGGAACTAAGTCAAAACTTTCCACTCCAATTCCCTGATCCTTTTCCATGCGTAGGGGCACATGCAACGTGTGTACACACACACATACACACACACACACACAGATATTTACACTGTACCTATTAATCTATAACTTATTTTTCTCACTGAGCAATGTCTTAATCTTGCCAGCATATATAAATACCTACTTTTCCTTTAATAGTTACACAGTAATTTCTAACATGGATGTGTCCTAATTTAATCAATCATTACCTATTTCTAGGTTACTACCAATTTTTTTGCTATTTTAAACCACAGTGCTATGAGTATTCTTGTGCATACATCTTTATGTTTCTGTAGGTAAATAATGTACAGATAAAGAACTGGGCAAACTTGGTAAGACTATTTAGGAAAATTCGCATTCACAGTTTGTCTCAAAAATTACTTCAGATAGAAGAATTATTGGCTAGGAAGATGCAGCAGCAGTCTAAGCACCTGCCTGGCAAGCACAAGTACCTGGCATCAATCCCTGGTACTGTATGCTGTGCCAGCCCTGAAACTGGGTGTGGTGGCACATGCCTGTAATCCCGGCACTGGGGAGGTTGAAACAGGAGGATCACTATGAGTCCAAGCTGTGTAGTGAGACCCTTACCAAATACATAAATAAATAAAAGATTTTTTAAAATTTAAATGAACTTCAGATAGAAGAATTACTTATATTTTTGTGAACAAAATCAACTGACAAACACTGAAATAAGGGGCTAGAGAGAATAAGCACTTGCCTGGCAAGCGCAAGGACCTGAGTTCAATCTCCAGTACCGCCAAACAAACAAATAAAAAATGGAATAAAACACTAACAGCTGAAATGCAATAGATGGATTTACTTGTAAAAATATACAGATTCAAAAATTCACACAAAACATAAGTATAAAGAATAAGTAAAATATTTGAAATGAATGAGAATGGACCAGGATCCCAATAATTCAAACATCAATAAAAAGAAATTAAAATGTGGTAAAATTAAAATAATGGCTATTATTATGTAACTATTAGAAATTTTATAGAACTTTTTTTTTTTTTTTAAGTGCAGGGTCTCACCATGCAACTTGGACTCACAGTTATCCTCTTGTTTTCTGCCTCCTTAAGTGTTGCAATTACAGGCGTGTGCTACCACGCCCGAACTCTAGAACACATTTTAAAAATGGAAAGTGGATGAAATTTCAGAGTAGCCAGACAGCTAAGGGGAAAGCAATTGGTAATATCTATTAACAATCCATAAAAAACACTAGGCATGATGATACATCCCTATAATTTCAGCATCCTGTGAGGCTGTGGCAGAGGATCATAAGTTATAACTCAACCTGAGCAACTCAGTGAGATACTGTTTCAAAGTAAAATACAAAGAGCTGAGGATATAGCTCAGTGCCAAGGTCCTGGGTTCAATCCCTGGTACCACCAAAGGAAAATAAAGCCAAATACACACATACACACACACACACACACACTTCATTAAAAATTCATCCAATACAATTTCTATGCTTTTCACTCATTAACTCCCTGTCTGGAAATACATTTTGTGAAAATAATTTTAAGAGCAAGGAGGAGGTACAATAGGGCTGACTTTAAGGAAAATCATCACTGCAGCATTATCTGGAATAGAAAAAAAGTGAGCGATAGATGCCAACAACAAAATACTTAAGACAATACCACATTCAAAACAAGAGATCACATAAAAGCATTCTAAAAACAGAACACAGGGCTAAGAACATAGCTCAGTTGGTCTTAGTTTGGATCGCCAGCATCATTAAAAGAAAAAAAACAAACAAACAAAAAACAGAAGACAATGGAAATAGTGGATATGTAAAGGGGATGAAATTATGAGTATGATTTACTATTAGTGTTATACATGATTTCTAAAATAGCTACAGAGTCTATAGTAAGAAAAAAAAGTTTAAGAGAAGACTATTTTGAGCAACAGCTGCCTTGACTGGACTGGCTTTTCTGAACATCATGAGATCATGCTACCCATGATTAAAACACCAACTGACAACACTATCACGATAAAAATGTTAGTGATTCATGTTTTCACAATTTTGAAAATATGCTACAAACTGATTCTATCATTAACATGTTTGTGTTTAATATAGACATTTTAGAGCAAAGGTACAAAGTACTAAATGGAATATAACAAATTAATTTTTGTATTGCTACTTACCAAGTAATAATTGTAGTATATAAAATATAAGTCCAAAGACACTGTTTGGCTGGTTTAATACACCATCCTTTCCAAAAATGGAACCCAAAAGACCAAATCCTCGACCCCATCTGTAAAATAAGGAAAACCAGTAACCCTATATTTTAGATTCCCTATTTTTTAAAATGTAAAATTATTTAAGACTGTTATCCAATTCTAAAATCAACTAAATTGCCAAATTTCTTAAGAATCTTTTTCCTAAGAATAATTAACCCAAAAGAGGAAGGTCAGTCATTAGATTTCTATATTACAACTGATTAAAAACAACTATCTAGTATAAAGATATCTGAAAGTGCTAACATACCCATGGGAATGTCTTTAAGTGGCCTATTTCTATATATTCTCTTTTCCAGAAGGGACCATAAAGTGTTCCTGTTCTGCTGAAGACCTCTCAAGCCAAGATCTCTTAGAGGCACAAGCCAGAGTTGTGTGTGTTGGGGGGGGGGGTAGGAGTGTCAGTACTTTTCATACAGTGTTAAGCGCATTCCTGGTTTCCTGGCCTCTACCTACTAGATGCTAATAGCACTCCTCTCTGCTGCAGCTGTGACTACCAGAAACGCCTGCAGCCAAGCAGTCCAATGACTTCATTCTAAGTAGGCCAACTGAGAAGTTGTTTCCCAGGAAATTTCAGCAGTCTATGCACGAAGAAACATATCCTGGGAACAGGCAATGTAGGACAATGTCAGAAACTACAGATCTTCCCCAGAAAGGTATCTCAAAAGTAAAAACTTGATACATTGTATGCCACATTCTCATTTAATGTTTAACTTGAAATTTTCATTTGACTTAACATTTTCAGAATCCTATTTTCTTGCTTTAAAGCAAGGATTATTAAATTCTGATTCAATGACACCTGATATAAATATCAAACTAAAAACCTTTGGGATTATTTTAATTCTGAATGAGAGTACTTTTTAAGTACCATAAAAGAAAACAAATATTTATGAAGTTAAGTTAGCAGAGATGACTGTAATAAAACCTAAAATCTGGTTCTGAAGAGATGCTGCCTGAAAAAGATAAAAGAACCTGTATTAGTTGCATGGGCTTTTTGTTTTTGATTTTAGTTTTTTGAGACAGGGTCTTGCCATGTAGTTCAGGCTGGACTTGAGCTTACTATGTAGCCCAGGCTGGCCTTTAACTCAAAGTGATCCTCCTGCCTCAGCCTCCCAGAGTGCTAGGATTACAGGTGTGTACCATCATACCCAGCAGTCACATGGGCTTAACAGTAAGATTCAAAACTATAATGATGCTGAGAGATAATAAGCCGAATTTTACAACCAAGTGGAGCCATGAATACTTTATTGTACAGAGCTATAAAGTTCAAAGAATATTGGGTAATTACCACCGTATTTGTTTATCTTCTCACTTATCAATACAAATTGACTACATATCAGGTGCAGACACTGCAGTGCTGGGAATGCTTATGCTAGGTAGAGGAGGTGCTGCCCGTGGGGCTTACATTCTGGGTAAGCAGGGAATAAACAACCAAATGACCAGAAACAGACCAGCCTACACAGTTAAACAGGAAAGCTGGAAGGACAGGAATCCAGAACCACACTTCTGAACATCTGCAAGTATAGCCACGTAGGGAGGTCTTGGTTCAGAGGGCGTCTGAATTCCACTGTTTTAGACAAATGGGAAGAAGCTGGTGTACCAAGAGGCCAGAGAAGCCCTGCTCAGAAACTGCATTTCAAATCCAACCCTCACAGAACGATGAGAAGTCAATCTCATAAGGACAGCACACAAAGGCTGCGACGTAGGAGCAAGCTTGAGTGTGCAAATGAAAGCCTCCAGGGTGAAACGCAGTGATCATGGGAGCGCAAAGGAGCAGCAGACAGTCCACCCATCTAAACTTCAGTGTCTGGTTGCTGGCCACAGTGAAATGTGCGTCTTGCTTTACCTGCACTGGGTAGCATACATGAGGAAAGTGTACTCCTGGACCCTCTGAGTGAAGGGCTTAAGACCAGACTGCCGGGGGAGAGAGCACAGCCAGTGAGATACTGCACACTTCTCTTCAAATTTAAGTCACTGCCTTTGGCAATGGAAGTAAGTGGGCATACTGTCAAAATTACATTGCACTACATGGACATTTTCCTTGAAACAATGCAGCAACCCACAAAACAAATACCTACCATCCACCCCCACACACCTGGGTTGTTCATTCCTCTGGTGGAAACAGGCCCTTCGGATAGTAAAATGTCAGGTAAAACTCAATGTCAGAGCAAATCAAAGGAGATGAGGTCCCTGGACAAGACGAGAGGCTGAAATATAGCTTCCTACCATTCTGTCATGAGAATAGTGGGACAAAAGTGACCCTGGACATTGTTTTGTCAAAGAAATACATGCTAAAGTTTCAATAGAACACCAAAAGCCTTTATAGAAAGTTTCAAATGCATATATACACAGGGAACAGAACAATGCAATAAACCTCCACACACTCATCACCCAGCTACAGTAAGTGTGCCTTTATTTTTCTCCACCTCTACCTATTCACTAGCCCACAGTTCAGTTCTTTTCTTTAAAGTAACATCTACATAATTTGAGCCACACATGGTGACTTACACCTGTAATCCCAGCACTTAGAAGGCCGAGGCAGAAAGATCACCACAATTTTGAGGCCAGCTGGGGGCTACATAGCGAGTTCAAGGTCAGGCTGAACTACGGAGTAAGGTCCTATCTCTAAAAAAATAATAATAATAATGTGGGGGGGGGCAGGCAAGATGGCTCATCAGTCTCAAGCACATGCTTAGGCAAACTTAGGGAGGCTCAGGGGACAGAGGTTCAATACCTGGCCCCACATTTCACGCCAGCCCCATCCTCAGGGCAGGCTGAGCTGGCCAAAAAAAAGCATAATTTAACACACAACTCTTAACTATATGACTTAGACAAATGGCTGGGTGATCCAAATCTCGTCTCCATATATCGCTTCCATCTTCCCACTTAAACTCTGTTCAGTTCTCATTCAGCCACAACTCCCTGCCCAGGTACAAGAGACACAGAGACACCCAGGTGTGGGAGATCCAGCCTCTAAACAAAGGCTAAACTGCTGGTCTCCTGGACCTAGTGCTTCATTCTTTCTTAAGTCCAAATCTCTTACAACATCCAACTATCATTCTTACATTTTCAACCAGAATGACTAGGGGGCCTGGCCCTAGCTCAGGCCTTTAAGTGGCTGCTTCCACAAAGCTGTCAGCCTCAGGTTGCTGGAGTTCAAACCTCACACCTCTCCAGCTGGCCAAAAGTGCCCTGAAGGCATTTGAGGAACAAAAAAAAAAAAAAAAAAGCCAACCAGAATGACTATTTCCTTGATAAATATAACCAGTACAGTACAGTTAACAAAGCTACATGTAATACAGCTGTAAGCAAGTCAACTCACAAACTAGACTGGAATAGACAGTATTACTTTCCTGGAAAAAAATGACTACTATCCCATTGTTTTTTAATGAGACATATTTTTGTGACTGGCTTATTTCATTTAGTATAATGTCCTGAAGATTCATCCATGTTGTAACTTGTGACAAGACTTCCTTCTTTTAAAGAATAAATACTATTCCATTGTACATATAAGCCACATGCTGTTGACCCAATCCATCCACACACCCATCTCTGGGTTGTTCATTCCTCTGGCGGAAACGGGCCCATCTGATAGTAAAATTTTAGGTAAAACCCAATGTTAAAGCAAATCAAAGGAGATGAAGTGCCTGGACAAGATGAGAGGCTAAAACATAGCCTTCTACCATTCTGTTGTGAGACTAGTAGGAGAGAAGTGGCCATGGACAAAACCAGAAAGTAGTATTTCTTTCATTTTAAGTTCATGAGTTATGACACTGAACAACTTATTAACAAAATTCTAGAGAAAAACAATTATACAAAACATATATGATGGTCTGATGAGAAAAATTAAAGAATAGGCCTTAGAAACAATGCTGTTAACTGCTGGAGCTTATAAAATTTTCATTGGTTTCTTCTGAGGAAATGACCAGTTTATACCATGAAATACCTCTTTCTCAGGTCATACTGGATACTACTGTGTGTCAACTAACATTTAAAACTCTTTCAACAACTACCTATTTTTTTTTTCAAGTTATTTCAAGAATTCAAAAAGGTCATGGATGCCTATAGTCCTAGTACTCTCGAGGCTGAAGCAGGAGGATCATTTTTGGTTTTTTTTTACATTTATTTAGAAAGAGAGAGAGAGAGAGAGAGAGAGAGAGAGAGAGAGAGAGAGTGTGTGTGTGGCCAGCTCAGCCCACCTGGGGGCGGGGCTGGCTGGCATGTGGTGCTGGGGAATCGAACCGCGGTCCCTGTGTTTTGCCAAGCTTGTTCTAAGTAGGTGCTTTAGACCACTGAGCCATCTCTCCAGCCCCAGGAGGATCATTTTGTTTTTTATTTTATTTTATTTTATTTATTTACCGAAACCAGGGATTGAACTCAGGCCCTTGCACTTGCCAGACCAGTGCTTATTCTACTAAGTAATCTCCCCGGCCCAGGAGGATCACTTTGAATTTGAGGCCAACCTGGGCTACAAAGTGAGTTCAAGGCCAGCCTGAACTTCACAGTGAGACCCTGTCTCAAAAAGAAAATGCTGAGTTAGCACAGGTTATTAAGTAATACTGTATCAGGAATGCTGTATGTTCAATGAATACTTACAATTGTGATCATACACGACATATTTTCATTTGGTAAGATTTTTGTTTATATTATTTTCAATTTTATTAAAATTGCATATTTATATAGAAATAGTTTTAAAAATAAGTTCTAAGAGACGAGATTAAAAAACAAAACAAAACAGCAGTCCTCTAAACCTCAAGTTACCATCTTCAGAGGCAAGTGCTTCAGAGGCAAGTACAATTTACTTTAGTGGGTTGTGATTTATCTATAAATTTCTTTTCACAAAAATGCTTAGTTTCATATAATCTATCACTCCATGGTAGACTACATTTACAACTCAGTATACTTTTCCATTCCTCTCTCAGCCTCCCAATTATACTACAATTTTTGCGCAAATTAGTATATATGTGGGGCTGGAGAGATGGCTCAGTGGTCTAAAGCACCTGCTTAGAACAAGCTTAGCAAAGCACAGGGACCATGGTTCAATCCTCCAGCACCACATGCCAGCCAGCCCCGCCCCCTGGTGGGCTGAGCTGGCCACACACACACACAATAAATAAATGTAATAAATAAAAATAAATATTTAAAAAAAAATTAGTATATATGTTTTACATGGTTATCATTGTAACATTCGGCTCTGAGCAAAGAAGGATCTGTTCTGTTTTAGCCAGGTTTTCATTTAGTAAATCAAGTCACAGTGATTACGAAGAGAATGACACAAGTACAACATGAAATTGCATAGTGTGCATAGAACTTTCCCCAGATATTAAAAGTTTTATGTAACTGAATGAAAAGTAGTCAAATGAAAATAACACAAACTTGGATATGAGTTTGATCTCTGTATCACAAAAATTGGTCAGGGGCAGGGACATGGCTCAGAAGAATAAGCGCTTCCCTGGCAAGCGCAAGGGCCTGAGTTCAATCCCCAGTTCCACAAAAAAACAAACAAACAAAGGTACATCAAATTAAATTAAAAATAAAAATAAATGTAAATGTGTACACCAGAGATATATAGCCACACAGGTCATCTGACCTCATAAACCTCTTTTGTTATTGCTTGATATATGGTTCTCCTCAAACTATTTTACAGTTGTTTCCAGCATTCAGTTGCTCAGCTGTCCTTTGTACCCCTGCCCTTTCGCTACATTTCCTCTGTACCATTACTATGGTACAGAGGAAAATTTATATATAAATTTTATATCTACCATAGTACTCCCTGCTGTATTTGAAATTTAACATACTTGTAAGCTGGGCCTGGATTTCAGCAGGATTACTGTTATTTTCTTTTCTGGCTACAAGCTCTCCCAGCACTCTGGAGGGGTAAGGCAGAGAGACAGTTTGAGTCCAGGAGTTCAAGGCCAGTCTAAGCAACACAGCGGACTGTCTCTTAAAAGTGAGAGAGGAGGGGCTGGTGAGATGGCTCAGTGGTCTAAAGCACCTACTTAGAACAAGCTTAGCAAAGCACATGGACCACGGTTCGATCCCCCAGCACCACATGCCAGCCAGCCCCGCCCCCTGGTAGGCTGAGCTGGCCACACATACAATAAATAAATGTAAAATGAATAAATAAATTTTTAAAAAAAAAGTGAGAGAGGAAAGGAGAAAGGGAGATGAAGCTAAAATGGAAAAGGACAATAATTTGTTGGCTCACTGACTTCACAGCCCTTCCTACATTAAAAAGGACCTGAACATATCAATTAAAAGACATTGGGGGAGGAGAAAACATTGGAAATGGTGCGCACACCTGCAATCTCAGCTACTTGGGAGGCTGAGGCAGAATGACCCCAAGTCTGGGGGTCCTTTGCCAGGGGAATGCAGTAAAACCCTGCCTCAAAGTAAAATTTTTGAAGAGACCCCCAGAAAAATGTTATAATTAAATCAACTAATAAATGCTGGAGAGGCTGTGGGGAAAAAAGAACACTTCTCCACTCTTGGTGGGAGTGTAGACTGGTACAACCACTGTGGAAATCAGTGTGGAGATTCCTCAAAAAACTAGGATTAGAGGTCACATTCAACCCAACTATTCTCCTCCTGGCTATTTTCCCAGAAGAAATGAAAACATACCACTGGGATATATGTGCACCCATGTTTATAGAAGCACAATTTGTTATAGTTAAATCTTGGCAATTAATTACCCAAATACCCACCAATTGAGGAATGGATAAAAGATATGTAGTATTTTTATAAAATGGAGTATTACTCAGCTATAAATAGATAAGCTCCAAGGCTTTGATAGGTAAATGGATGCAACCTGAGACCATACTCATAAGTGAAATAAATTAGAACTGCATGTGTAAATGTCATATTGTCTCCCTAGTGCAAGAACTTGCAAGAGTAAATAAAATCTGAAAGGCACAACAGATATAGTAAAACGGAAAGAAATGCTAAAAAGCAATGAACAATTGGAAGCAGGGAAAGGAGAAAAGAAAAAAAAGGAAGAGAAAAAATCATGTCTGTATATACACAGGATAGCTAAGATGACTGTACTAATTTCTATCAGTTTTTTTGCTCTTTTTTTTAGGGAAGGGTCTACAGGGTGTTCAGGGTCTCACTACTAGATTGGACTCATAGTGATCCGCCTGTTTACCGCCTCCCAAGAGCTGGGATTACAGGCATGTGCCACCACACCCAATCTCAATTACTATCTCAGTGTCCCAGGGGGTGGGGCTGGCACAGCAGGCCCAGGGATTGAACCTCCAGATCCTGCGCCTGCTTGCAAGTGCTTTAATCTGCTATTTGGACAGCCCTCTACCAGTTTTCTGAAGGGAGAAGTTAATGCTTAACATTTTTATTTTGACCAATTTTACATACTTGTATCTGGTAATCTGAGCAACAATACTGAGGACAACAATGTGCAATATAATAACCATTACTGAATTCCTTTTTCTTTTCTTTTTTTTCTTTTTTGGCAGAACCAGGGATTGAACTCAGGCCTTTGTGCTTGCCAGGGAAGTGCTTATTCTACTGAGCCATCTCCCCAGCCCCCTATTGAATTCCTATCACCTTTTTTTTCTTTATAAATTATATATCATTTCTAATGTCTTACCTACTATTTTTTATTCTCTTTAAAATTAAAAAGTTATGCCATAAGAGAAAAAAATTAAAAAATGGACAGGCCAAGGGTATAGCACTATTTGCCTACCACCGGTCCAATCTAAAGCAAATGTGTACACACACACACACACAGAGTCAAACTGAACTTACAGACAGAAAAGACCCAGGCATATGCGATCCATAAGAGATTCACTTTAAGTGTAGTAACACAGGCTGAAACTAGAAAAATAAAAATAAAAGGTATATAAACACTGACTCAAGGAAAGCTAGAGGGGGCCTGGCCCTAGCCCCTAGCCTAGCCCTTTAAGTGGCTGCTTCCACAAAGCTGTCAGCCTCAGGTTGCTGGAGTTCGAACCTCACACCTCTCCAGCTGGCCAAAAGTGCCCTGAAGGCATTCGAGGAACAAAAAAAAAAAAAAAAAAAAAAAAAAATCAAGGAAAGCTAGAGGGGAGAGGAAAATGGTGGCATGGTGATCAACCTCTCTGAGATCCACAATCCAGATAACGGAAAATAACAAGTAAAGAAGAAAAAAGAAGTAAGCTGTGGGTAGTTGCAAAAGAAGTGACAGGAGCGCCCGGCCGGCCTCGCCTCTCCTCGCCTCGGTCCCGGCTGTCGGGCCGGGCAGGAGGGGTGAGCGCGGGGCCGATCGCGGGCGCCCGCCGCCGCCTGTCGCCGCTTGGCTGCACCCTGTTCCCGGCCCCGGGGCTGCTAGCGTTGGGCGTCGCCCCTAGCCGCTGTGCGGGCGGCTGGGTAGGAACCCGCCTGGCCAGGGGCGATCAGGCGGAGTGGGCGCTGCTGCTCGGCGTCGGCGTCGGCGCGGGACGCGAAGCTTCGCGGGGGGGAAAATCCATCCGGTGAATCCCACAGGCAGTGGCTTGTGGTGGAGTGGGTCCTCTCAAATCGGAAGAAAGGTGCTTCAGCTGTGAAAGCGATGGGAGAACAGAGACGGCGAGGAGCTGTGCTGGCGGGTCTTAAACAGATTTAATTTCTTGCACAGAATGGTGGGAAGGGGGCCTTTCCGAAGGAGCTTATTCTGGAGCTAGACATCGTCCCAGATCCATTGCAGATGGTGAGGAAACCAAGCCCGCAGAAGCAGTGCTTTAGTTAAGGTTTAATTGTGTCCAGATTTTTACTTTACTCGTGACCATTTCTCTTTTAAGTTGCTTCTCCTGAGTTATAGAGAGTTGTTTTTAAAATCTTTTTTTTTTTTTTATAGAATTGCTTTACTTTGTCAGTTCCTGTACTTCTTCCTGCACTGCTAGATTGCTAGGTGCTGTCTTCCAAACTTCTTTTCTCTCCTTGGTCTTTTCTTGGGTAACTGCTTTGTGTTCTATAGCAACATTGTTTCTGATTGTTAAGTGCTAAACTTGTTTCTTTTTGGGGCTGGGGATGGAACTAGGGGCTTGTGTGAGTGGATGGGCTCAATAAGTGAACCAGACCCCTAGCCAGAAGTTACTTTTGAAAACTTATTTTAAATGTATATTGTAACACATCCGTTTGCGGTACTGTTAGACTTACACAGAGGAAAGTTCTTTTACATTTTTCACACTGTCATAAATCTGGGTTAAGTAAAATGTAACAAACAAAAGCTGAAGATTAAAAATACTTCAACAATGCTATAAAAAAAAAAAAAAAAGTGACAGGAAAATGACAAACTAAGAGAAGCTGGAGAGACCACAATGCAGAGAAAGAAAAGGATGAAAAATTGGTGGAGTCCCTCCTAGGCACAAATACTGTATGGTGCCAGTTTTAATGAAAATATTGATACATTTCACTCATAAGCAGAATATTCAAGAGAATACAGAATAAGGCAACCACCCTGGCTCATCCTTGGAAGATGCCATACATTGACCAGAAGAGACAAAAATAAACCAGGATTTAAAAAGCTGTGAAGGACAAAATGGAGTACTACTGTGCCATAAAAAAGGACAGGGCCAGCCAGATAGCTTAGTGGAATAAAGAGCCTGCTTAGGCAGATGCAGGGACCCAGTTTGATCCCCAGCACAAGTCGTGCTGGACCCACCCCTAGAGCATACTGAGACAGGGACGGTGGCATGCATCTGTAATCCCAGTGCTTGGGAAGGCGAAAACAGGAGGTTCACTATGAGTCTAATCTCTGTAGTGAGACCCTGTAGACCTTGTGCCAAATACATTAAAAAAAAAAAAAAAATAAACTTCATCTGCGGTGAAATGGGTGCACCTCGAGATCAAAATGTTACGTAAGCTAAATCAGACACACATGCTTAAGTACCACATAATTTCTCTTACATAAAAAACTCAAATTATAAATAAAGAGGAAAATAAAAGATAAATAATAGGAAATAGGGAGATGAATCTTTTGCATATGGGAAGGGGACCACAATATGGAGGGAGAAGGGAGGAGAAAAGGGAAGAAGGGAAAGATAAAAAAGAAAAGAATGAAAGATGTGTTATGTACACGTACCAATTCCCTATGAGTATGTGGTCATTAAACACGCAATAAAACAAGTAACAATTATACTTAAAGACTTTAGTATCTTTATCAGTAACTGACAGAATATGGTCACAAAAATCAGAAAGGACATAGACAGCATGAATAAAACTAACACAATCTGCCATTAAAAGAACACTCCGGGGCTGGTGAGATGGCTCAGTGGTCTAAAGCACCTACTTAGAACAAG